CCTATTTGAAACAAGGTTGTAGTGAGGTGAGGGTTGGTCTCTTCTGCCATATCTCAAGTGAAAGGACAAGAGGAAATGACCACGATAGGGGGTTCAGATTAGATATTAGAAAAAAAAATTTCACTCAGAGAGTGGTCAGGTATTGAAATAAATTGCCCAGGGAGATGGTGGAGTCACCGTCTCTGGCAGTGTTCAAGAGGCATTTGGATGTGGCACTTGGGGATATGGTGATTATGGTGGTGCTGGATGATCAGTTGGACTGGATGATCGTGAAGGTCTTTTCCAACACTCATGATTCTTTAATTCTGTGAGTCTATGAAACATGTGAGAAGGTCTTCAGGAGAACTACTCATCCCACAGTGTATATGGCTGCTGATCCTGGAGTCAGACACTGAGCTGTGTTCGCAGTTAGTCAATGTTAATATAAAAGAAGTGTTTTTTCTGATTGCAATTCTCTAGCCTGAAGTCTTCTTCTCTTTCTATTCCTTTAATCTGTCTTGTTTTTTGCAAAGTATTGTAAAGCTGTGGTTCAAGATGTATTGGCAGTGAATGCTGAAAGAACATTAACTCAGAAAATTCAAAGAAAATGAAACCATTATTCTTTTTCAGCTTTGTCACTTTCTTCTCTTTGCTAAGACTTTTTTCAAACTGAAGTTGATTTTTTTTTTAACTCCCATTTTTTATGCTCACCTCTAATAAGATGTAAAATGTTAAGGAATTAAGTAGTTGGCTATATTAATATATTTATATAATGGGATAATTTGTCATTATTTGTTTGTGAGGCAATGGAACATATCATATGATGTGTTATTACTTGTTCAGTACTGGGAATGCACAAAAGCACAATGATGAATGACATAGAACTGACGGAGAGACACAGGACAAGAGCAAGGACAAAAAGTTGATAAAAGACTTCACTACTCTGTCAGAGCAGTGTGTGTTTTAGGCACAGTGTTAATCTGGAGTCTGTTTTTACAAGGCTCATCATCAGAGACATTGAGACACATCTTTGTTCTTTACCACTTCAGACTGCACTCCAAGAGCAAGGGCAGAATTCAGCTTGACTGGTGTCTAGACAGGAAAAGAAAAATAATCCAGTGGGGTTAGCTGTGCCCTCTGCTATTTCAGCCAGTGGCAAACATTTTACAAAAATGTTTCAAGAAAAAGATTATGCAATTTTCTGCACAGTCTTGGCTCCATAGCTTTATAACAAAAAGATAGAGAATAAAAGGAAAACATGGAGCTATCTTACTTCACACAATGTTACCAATCACTGTATTTTTCACACAGGGTTATTATTATGTGTTTTTCAATTTCCAAGTTAAAAATATGCAAGAGTGTGGTCATTGCATGAAAGGAATCTCAAAGACAATATTTTACACTGATGCACATTTACTGATGACCTTTCACTTTTTTATGTGATTGAATAAAAATCTATTCATAAATAACTCAGTGTAGAGAAGAAACGTGATTAAAAATGTGGTATAAAATCTGTATACAACAGTCCAGAAACAGATAAACTATGGAATATCTGTCAAGCTAGATAGATTGAATTAGGCAGAAATTTAAGCTTTTTACTCAGTATTTCTAAATTCTAACATTTCTAAATACATTTTACTCTCCAGAGACGAGGATAGGGAGGACTATTTGCAAACACTTACTGCATCTGCCTACCTGCTAAGGATAGGGTAGTTAATTAGATACTGCATCTGACTTCTACTAGGTATGAGAAACTTCTTCAACATGGTGGAGAAAACGGTGAAGTAAACCAAAATAAGGTGTAATGGTTTTCACAAAAAATGCCTGTGGGACTCCTATTGCCCTAAACAGTGTTTCTTCCTGTGGTGACCACATGCCTAATGAAGGTATAGCTCCATATGGTGCTCATCCACCATTTCAGGTAGCATCCGGGCACGGTGCATGCACAGGGAAGGACCAGAGCAGAAGGAAGCAGGGCTGGGGTATGACAGCTGATTAACAAGTTCAGGTAGCCAACACTAAATAAGGACAATCCAACTAGGGAATTTTTTTAATTCCCTAAACTTGTTGGTGGGTGTGAGTTGCTCCTCTGGAGGCGCATGCCCTTCTTCCTGCCAATCTCCTGATAACCACTGTTATGTAAATCTTTGTGTGCCCAGATATTAAGTTTAGCCCACTACTAGTGATATACTGGATTTACTATTGTTTTTGCTTGGATAATTGTACCCCTGATTTGCATTACTTACTATTTTGTTATCCTCAGATAAGTTGTTGATCCCAAAAACTATTGACTGGTGGTGTCCACTACCAGGTATGGAACCTAGAGCATGGCAGGGATGTCTTAAGCCCCTAAAATGATGAATATATTATGGAATGTACTTCATGGCCCTAACCAAATGCACAGTTAAAGCTGGATGAAAAGACCATAAAGAGTTGAGAGGAGATGCTCAAGTAGTCAAAGATGGACATCACTCAGGAAAATTGCTTCTTGTTAGATGGTTTGAAAATGGTTGTGCTCTGGTACCTAGGAGCAAAGACTATCCTCTAATCTGGAGTTCAGAGATCTACACTCAGTTCTTCAACACGCACCAGGCTTTGTGCACAATTTTGTGTAAATAATTAGGTTTCCATGATCCCTAGGGTTCACATTCTTTAAAATCAGGGAAAAAAAAATTGTTTCCTTGATTTTACTAAGAATGAGTTCAGAATTTCACAATCATTTAGCTTTTATGGCAATGAAGACCAGAGACAAAGAACATGCAGAGTGGGAAGTGGTTTGCAGGATACAGAGCAGGTAGGCTTTGTCCTATCCATCTTTAGAAGTCTGAAATACATTACTCTTACTTACAACCCAATGATGCCTTTTTATTTGGTGTGGTGAAATAAGGATTTTAGAATACTGTTCACCTCACCTGGATAAGGTAGTTGTTTTATGTGAAAGACACTGCATCTTAAATGTGCCTAATTTTTCTACTGATATAAGTGCAACATTGGGTGGTCAGCTGTTACATAGACATCGATGTCACAGCTCATATAATCATAGAATCATAAAATGGTTTGGTTTAGAAGAAACCTTAAAGATCATCTTGTTCCAAATTCCTGCCATGGGTAGGAACACCTTTCACTAGAGCAGGTTACTAGTGAATGGGACCAGGGATGTGGGATAGTGGCGATATTTCTCTTTTACTCTCTCTTTCTTTACTTCTTCTCCTGATTTCCTTTCTTAATATTTTGGATATCTTGAGACTGGATGGGCTGGATTTTACTAAGTTGTATATGTTAGCATATGCTAAGTCAATTCTTTGTGAAATGCTTTATTTTGGTTGAATGTTACCCTTTAAACTTTTGTCAAGTACTCTTATTTTCTAAAGTTTAGCAGTAAAAGTACCCTCTGAGAAAATGTGTTCAGCTTTTCTCATATGCACTCTCTCTCAAGGTGTTTAAAAGAGCTGAAGGCTCTTCTAATATGTCCGGAGGGTCGATATTGTTGGAGTTTTTATATTTTTGAAGTAAAACCCCTTCAGTGAGCTTGTAGCTCAGGGCCTGGTGTCTTACACCAGGTTTCAAATTTAGAGATAGATTCCACAAACTAGAGACGGTGATAAAATTTTCAGAATTATGTGTTATTGTTTCTCCCACACTGTATTCAAAGCCAGATGCTTAAATGTTAATGTAGATTTACTTGGGGAGTATTGATGATGATGATTTCCTTTCTTAATATTTTGGATATCTTGAGACTGGATGGGCTGGATTTTACTAAGTTGTATATGTTAGCATATGCTAAGTCAATTCTTTGTGAAATGCTTTATTTTGGTTGAATGTTACCCTTTAAACTTTTGTCAAGTACTCTTATTTTCTAAAGTTTAGCAGTAAAAGTACCCTCTGAGAAAATGTGTTCAGCTTTTCTCATATGCACTCTCTCTCAAGGTGTTTAAAAGAGCTGAAGGCTCTTCTAATATGTCCGGAGGGTCGATCCCCTTCAGTGAGCTTGTAGCTCAGGGCACACCAGGTCAAATTTAGAGATAGATTCTCGGTGATAAAATTGCTCCCACACTGTATTCAAAGCCAGATGCTTAAATGTTAATGTAGATTTACTTGGGGAGTATTGATGATGATGATGATTATAATACTTTACTAGCAGTTACCAATCTGGTTTGTACATGGTACTGTATGCCTTCCTCCCCCAATCTCTCTTATTGCTTTCATTAATAAAGCTGTATCCAGTCACATTTAGTGCTCAGGCTGGTTAGACGTAACTGCTCAAATCTTAAACCTACTCCAATACCCAGTCTTTTAAGATTAAGCTTTACTCAGCTTTCTTCCTCTCTCTCCTGTTTTAACTAAACCATGTAGTCAATATGAGCATTACATGATCTCTGCTTTCAGCATCAACTACAGGAATTGGCTACTGAATTCCAGTAAGAAATCCTTGAGGCAGTGGGGGTGCTTAGTAGCAGCGCTCTATTGTCTTTTCACCAATACAGACGTGTATAGACTTGATTTTATTTGTAATTCACATAGGTCCTATTCACTGTGCTGCAAATTCATCCTTATATGGCTTCTTTTCATTATTTCCTCTACCTGTGAAGAATTATTACTCCATAACCTCTTCAGCACGTCCTTGTGCACACTTTCAGTCAGATGCCTGTCAGAGATGGCATTTCTTTTAAGAGGAGAATTTCTTTGTGTGTTTTCTCTCTCCGAGTTTTGAGTCAATATTACAGTGTACAAATTGTTACAAATAGAGTAACAATGTTACCTAGAATCCAGGAGATGGCAGTAGTTGCCAATAATTCATTTGAAAAATAAGCCTATTTACAAAAGCTGAAAAATAAAGACATTTACCCTGACCGGAAAGCCAAACTGTATCTGCATACGTGTAAAACATTGCAACATAACGAATAATTAATTTTATTTATGAGTTCTTAAGTTCTAAACTAGGCTAGGAAATAGAGCTTGCAAATACATATGTTAAAGAATTTGCCCTAACACAGAATTTATTTTTTTTTTTTTTAATTCAGCTATTAATATTACTCAACCAAGTTTCAGTGGTACAGATGTCTTTGGCTATACCTCATTCCTAGCTTATTCTACAATCCCAAATATCACCTTCTACTATGAATTTCGCTTGAAATTTCAGTTGGCAAACCATGACTCAGCTTTACAAGACAACCTGATTTTTTTCACTGGACAGAAGGGCCAAGGTAAGTTTTATTTGTATTACCTATCCTTATACACTTTCAAATACTCATTAAACAAGTAGGATAAAAATATATACAGGTTTTTCTTGATTCTTTTTAGGATATAATTTCATTAGGGGGATAATAATCCCTTCAATACTTTATTGTTTTGTAAAGACACAGTAATTCAATCATGTTGTATAAATGTTTCTTTTCATTATGGAGAAATATAACTGCTTCCAGTAATTAAAGTTAACAGTTAATTTGACACTTGAGGTAGCATATTTCTGAACAGAAGAAACGGAAAACAAAGTCAAAGTTCTCTCTTGTCAGTCATACACATAAATTTCATTATTGATCACATATATTTGGTGTGCAATTTTGAGATGCTGCCTCAAATCTTCTTCCACTGATACTTACTTGATTGGAAAATCAATCTGTCCATCCAACATGCCACAGCCATCCTGCCACGTGTCTCGACCTGCCACAGGGGCAGCCATGAATTGCTGCTGTTGTCACAGTGGTTCCACTTCCAAGACACACAGGACTCAACACTGAAACCCAACCTTGTGGCAGCTAGCTTTGGACTCTGTGTTACTCATGTCAAACAAGAGACTCTAACCCCTGAGACGACTCAATGCAAGTTAACCCAAGGTAGCTATGAGTAAGTTGTGCCACAGTCTGTATAGCAAAGCATTCAACTTGATCTGATTAACACAGCTGAGAAGCAGGTTATATAAATCTACTTACAGCATTTGTACTAAGATTTTAGCAATACTTAAGGTATCTCTTCACAGCACCACTCTGTGGCAGGCTGCATGGCATTAAGAATTGCAATGGGCTAAAATAGAAATACTACTTGTGTTCTGTCCATCTTAGCATTACTCCACAAAGAAGCTATAACATGGATGAAAGTTGAAAAACACATAATGAAAATTTAATGCAGATGTAAAGTAGTCAGAGTAGAGACTACTTTATTCTTCATAGATCATAAGAAGCAAGTAATTTATTTTTACCTTGTTTCTGCAATTGGAATGTAACCTAACTGTTGGGTTTGGAATTGTCTATTGGGTTGTTGAAGTCTAGGAGGGAGTTTTGGTGATGTGTCTTTACGTCTAAATCCAACACAGTGACGGAGAGTGATTTAGGTAAGTAAATATAAGTCTCTACTACAATAGTAGATGCTTTATCATATCTAAAACATCACATAAGTTTGGTAGATATGGTCCATGAGTTACAGAAACCCACTGCTTATGCTGAAGAGTATCAGAAAATTAATACTTCAGGAGGATGAAAGAGGGGAGAATTTATTATTATTAGCAGTTTTAAGATACTGAGCTCCCAAAACGCATCATTAAAAATCAATTTGTGGGAGGCATGATGCAGTAACATATATGTCTAAAAAAACAACTGCAGTACATCACATCAGAAGGATACAGAGTATTCTCCATTGCTTTGTTAGTACATTTGATATTTTCTTAGGTCTTGCTTTCTGTTAAATTTCATTGCTTAAGTTCCTGCACCCTCTGGGGCTTCTTCCCCTTTCTCCCTGTGGCAGACTTCCAAGAATCAGACTGTCAGTTTATTACTATGCAAACTAAAACTTGTTAGCTTAGAACAGCTCAGCAGTTTACTCATCTGTGATATAATTCAGTCTGCTACTTTTCATTTGCAAAGATTCTGTCAAATTTAGCTAGTGCAGCTCAGCCAATCAACTGTACTTCAGTGTGCCATGACACCCTGGTACAGAACATTTACTTAATTTATCAGGTTGATTACCCAAATTAGCCTAACTTAAATACGTACTAAACCACTGTGAGTGTATTTAAACTCAAAACTCAGCTCTGCCTCTGTCTCTGTGTGAATCAGATTTTGCTGAGTTTTCTTCCAAACTTCAGTAAAACATGGTCAGACATGTAATCCTGCTAACTGTACTACATTCACGCTATTTTATCTACATCTAGGTCGAACGCTCCGTATGCCACATTTTATCCCTGGGAGAGTCACCACTCATTCCCAGGCAGTTTTTCCTTTCGCTTATTGGTGTGGGCAGAGGGAATATTGTCTTTCTTTTTTCAGTAGCTGAGTAGAAACGGTGTGTAGAGTTGAAGTTACCTAAAACATTTCCATCTAGTCTTCCAGAAAACAGTGTTCAGAAGCCAGTGTCCCCATCATTAAATTTTTATAAGAATAGTACACATCTCTGATGTAATACAAACACAAAGGAATCTTTAGAACATTCTTTTCAACAACAAGAATGAACCATCACATTCAGACATGTTTCTGCAACCTTGGGAACTGAATTTCAATCACCTATTTGAAACATTTCCAGTTGTAGGAAATGTAACCAAATAAAAATTGTACCAATTAATTCATTGCCTTTGCTCCAGATAGAGAAAATGCAAATATGAAATGTAGAACACCAGCGGTGCAAAAAAACCTGGTTTTTTTCTCTTACATTAATCAAAAGAGAATAAAAAAAATTTGCTGCAGTAAAATTTGTCTCAAAAAGATCTGCCTGCAGGGTGTATGCTGTACTCTCCAAGTGATTGTGGAGTGTAGGTCTTGCAATAATATTTAGCTGACCTGAGTTTTAAAAAAGAATCTTACCAGCGTCATTTTTATTAATGAGAATTACTAGCATTCCAGGCTTATTATGCAGTTGTCAGGCAGAAATCTGGCTTTTTGTTGCTTTGTATATAGTTTGTGGGGGGTGGGGAACATTGCAGTATGATAATAATGCATTTCTGCATCCCCTTGTCAAATGAGGGCAACACTTAGCAAAGAGAAAACAATGAGGCACCTGATAAAATGCTGTTGGTAAATTGCTGTTTTCTCCTTAGTTTAAATGGCTGGGGAGACTAAGCACCCTACATTTTAATTACCAGAAAGCAGTTTCTTACCAAGTGAACTTCACTTACTTCACCAAGAGCAGATGCAGTTGTTCTAACAATTTACTGAGTATCAAGCAATAACACTCTCACCAGGAGGAGCGTGAGGGTTTTTGTAGCCTACGATCTTGCTATAAGGAGGTATTTTTAATATTTCATTTACATTTTCCCCTTTTTCCATTTCATCCCATTTCTTGTAGTTAGCATTCTCTTGCTGCACCCTACCTGATTCCCCTCCACTGTTGTCTCTGCCCAAACCACGGGCATCGATGTCATGGCTAACCTCCTGTGAGTTACTATCACATTCTGTTCCAATACATAGTTAAAGTTAAAAACTGTTTAATTTATGCAGACTCAGCATTATATTATTCTGCCCCAACTCTGGCAGTATTCAAGGCCAGGTTGGATTAGGCCTTGAACAACTTGATCTAGTGGAAGGTGTCACTGCCCATGACAGGGAGGAAAGGGACTAGATGATCTCCTAGGTTCCTTCTGACCACTTAGCAGGGTATGATTCTATGACTATCTTCACCACATCATTTTTGTAGAGTCTTGACACTGTTGCATTTCTTTGATTTCCAAAAAAGCATTTTAAAAATTCAGAGAGCATTTTAAATAATGGTTTGTCTTTACTGTGCTTCCCCTAGTTTTGCAGGTCAAATCATGTAAGTACTTGTAGACATTGCTGAAAATAGAAACTTTAGTAATGATTTTTTAAAAAGAATTGTTATTTTCAGTTTGGAAATCCTTCACTGGTAACATGCCAGTGGAACTGAAAGTAATGGAATTTCATTCAGTCATGAACAAACCATTGTAATAAAAAATGAATAGTTTGTGTTCTATATAACTCAGTGTAACTGCCCACTTTCTACAGAGGCAGTGTATTCACAGTCCTTGAGATAAGATTTTATTTTTCAATATATTCCTGTTGTATCAAAATGCTGTATAGAAAAAACAAACTTCTGTATAGAAAAATCACTCCCTTCCCCCCACATTGCTAATGCAGCATGTTCGTTTATAGAATATGAGATAAGGGGAATATGGCAGTTCTGGCTGTGAAACAGCAGTATGCAGAACTTCAGTGGGAGGACAATATAGGTGTCATTGTTTCTTGGGGTAAAGCCTGTTTTATCTTTTGCAAATGAAGCAAATTTCCCATGCGTTTGAGGCAGAGGTATCAAGACACATCTGAAATGAGGGTCACCATATGATTCTGGAAGAACAAATAGGAAGAGACCTTCCCAGAAACAAATACAAAATGAGATAGCCTTATGAAAACAAAAGAAAATATCAAATAAAGCACAGTGTGCAGGCATGAAATTGAGCACTGAATTGCTCGAATTCACATGAGACTTCTAAAAATAAATAGATGGCTTTGAATTTCAAATCAGGACATCCTAATGCGAGAGTGAGTACATTCTTCTCCTTCCCCATTTTTTGTATCCTGGTTCTTTTACTGTACAAAGTGTATATGTAAAAGGGTGGGAAGAAGAAACAAGTTGATCATGTTTTCTCTAAACAATGGTGATTCCATTCTTGCCGGCATGAGAGATTGAATTCTTTTCAAAGATGCCAGTGTAAAAACGTGTTTACTTGGACAACAAGGAACAGGTCCAAGACTTGAATTCTTACTCACAGGCTTTAAGTCAGACTTAAAATCCTTCAAATGAGATTTTATACTATGGTGACTGAAAAACACAAACTGCAATTATATTTATATATCATATAAATACTAAGAAATTAAATTATTTATTTCAAATTTGAAAATTAATGGGTTCTAACCTGAAAGTTAGAAAGGCTTTAGAGAATTAAAGCATATGGCTGTTCTGACCAGAGAAATACCAGTAATGAACAATCTAGAGCCACCCTAATCTGGGGCAGGTACAATAAAGTCTCCAGGTGCTATTGAGTCAAGGGCAGCAGATGGAGCCTGATACAAGTTGCTAGAGCTTCTTCAGGCACATGTCCCTGCTACTCCCCTTGCCTCACAGCAGCAGGTGTCTGCAAGTTTTGAAGCTGTTAAAGTACCTAACATGAAAGCTGGAAGCATACTGGAATAGGATTAAGTCAAGGCCTGTTCTCACATGCAACTTGAAATTTCAATTATTTTTTTTTTTTTTAGATTTTGGAAAAAGTTGAAAATTTATTCATGTTCCATGGGGAGGGAACAGCAATGACTTCTAAATCCACCACGGTCAACAGGTTTTGTGAACGTCACTAACTAAACTGCAGTGTGAAAAAGATCTTCCTTTAAAAAGCCTATAAATGTTTTAAATCCCTGCAGTTTCTATTTTAAATCCACAAAAATACTGGAAACAGCATTACAAGTTAGGCAGAGATTGTTAGAAATACTTAAGAAGCTTAAAACCTTCCTGGCTAAAATATTCTAAACTGCTACCTTTTCAGTGGATTTGGAGAATATTTTATGTACTGGTATTTACTAAATCCTGGAATAAGTAGTTATTATTTTTTTGTGTTTTCAGGTCTGAATGGAGATGATTTCTTGGAGTTAGGCCTCCGTAATGGGAGAGTGGTATATAGCTACAATCTAGGTTCTGGCACAGCAACGATCATCAGCAAGGCACTTGATCTGACACTCCATATTCATGTCATCCATCTTGGCAGAAATCTCCAAAAAGGCTGGCTGAAGGTAATTCCTTTAGAAGGAAAATGTTCTCTGTATTTTTTCACATTTCATATGGAAAGATTAAAAATTATTTCTGTGTTTCTCTGTAAAGCTGGGAGGACTGTCTTCCTTAGGAGTTCCTAAATAAGGCAAATTCCTTTGTTGTAACAAATATAAATGTCTCATTGAAAGGTGGATGATCAGAAGAATAAAACTGTCACTTCTCCTGGGAGGCTGGTTGGACTCAATGTCTTCAGTCAGTTTTATTTAGGAGGTTATCGCGAGTATACTCCAGAACTCCTACCAAAGGGACCCAGATTTAAGAATGGCTTTCAAGGTAAAGATTACACCATTTTCAATTCCTTTTAAAACATGCATTAGATTGTTTCAGTTACCAATGAAAGAAAGGTATAAAATCTCTGCCTTATCAGGAAACAAACTGGGTTTGTTGAATTTCCTTGGCTGAAATTCCTGTGGCTTTTTCATTGTTTCACCATGATAGCCTAAGAAATATGATGCAAAAAGAGGCTTTACTAAATATTTTTAATACTTTCTGTTTCTGCTAAAAATGGAAGTTCTCCATTATATAAACTCTTCTTTTGTGCCCCCGTTCTACAACATCTTTTCAAAAGGACTTTGTTTCCCTGTGGTAGTTTAGATTCTTCTCCCACTGTGACTAGCAGTGCTAGTTTGGGTAATAGCTTTCATGCTGTAACCTTCTTTCTGATAGGACATCATGAAATCTGATTCTTTTTCCAAACATTATGATCTAGGTCTCCAGACAGGACCTAAGTAATTCCTCTTGGGAATATTTATCTAGCAGATACTAATTTCTGCCTCAAAACTAATATTTGAAGCTTTGTATAAATCTGAATTCAACTCCTACCAAATCAGCAATGAAGCAAAGGATTTGTTTGTGACACTTTATTTGCATTCCTTATTCCCTTAGAAACAATGTGCTTGATATTTGTGAGGTAAACTTGGATTTATTTTAAGGACTGGAAAGCCTTTCAAACGAAAAGAAAACATTTTGCAATAGTAAAACAAACTCTGAGTTCTCAGTTATAAAACCGGAGGCACGTTATCAAAGACAAGCACAGCAATAAAATTCACTTTCATATGCTACTACACTCTATCTGCACTAAGACCATGTAGCTGCCTGTTTTCCAGCCATCACCTTACTTCTTTTTCTTACACAGAAATTTCCTCAAAATCGATTTCATATCTTATGGTCAACTATTCACTCAGAAAGTCATATTAACTAATATCTCAGCTGTCTCTGTCTTTTCAGGAGGTATGGATTGTATAGTTATACTTATCCTAGCCTCTTAACAGCTTTCAAATTGGCATATCATAAAACCTAATGTCTGTTTAAGTATTTTAGTTGGGTCAATATTTGTGAAGCACTTCTGGCTTTACTTATGGACACGTTAATGTCAGGGGTGACCAACAGGAATCTCTGGTGCTTCACTTTAGCCATAAACCTTTTGAAACTGTTGCAACTGTATTTTAATGGTTGAATTTCTACAAATGCAGTATGAATAATCAAAACAAAAAAAAATCAAATTTCATGTACTGTTAGTTACCGTACTAGTTATTGATTTTTCTTACTCTTTAAAAAGAAGTATTTAGTACAAAATTTTGTCAATCATGTAGCACATAAACAATTTACTCTTTGCCCCTGACATTCAGAATAGTAAGTCCACTATACTTTCTAATTCATTCCATTCTCCAGTTCCCAGTAGCAGCTTGTCTCTGTTCTCCAGGGCATATTGATTTTCAAGGAATCTGCATTTCTCTATGACCAATATCCTATGATATTTTCTTATGTAGTCAGCATCTCATTTGTTCTTCTAGCTCAGAATGTCCCCACTTTCAGCTCTCAGGATCCTCAGGATCAGAAATAAACCTCTTTAGCTCTTCTCCAGAGTGGGAACTGCAATACCAACAACATAAAAGAAAATTCTGAACTATTTTACTTCAGTCAATTTGCAGCTGTAGGGAACTCACAGAAAAACTCTGGAAGTGACAGTCAAGATAAATTTATCTAGCACATAGTTGATTAAACCACTCAGACTTTTGGAAACTGCTGTTGGCTGCCTTTAAAGACATGATTTATTAAATCCATTTTGCTTCTAATACCAGAGTGTAACTCTCCTTTTGTAAGCAATCACTATTGGATGAAGAAACATTGAGGCCAGCCTTACTGCTGCAGACTAAATGTCCCCAGTGCAATAATTTAGAATTTTTACTCTGTACAGCTACTGTTTCAGACCATTTCCTCCCTTACATGTATGCTTTTAGTAGTTTTTCAAGTAATTTCCATGGAGTAGGAGGAAACTGAAAATGTCTCTAATAAGCTGTAATTTAATAATCAAAAGTTGGGGAATTTTAAATTTAGAAAATTTGGAGATCAGCACCTATAGACTCTTTTGAAAGGCTTATTAACATTTAATGGTACCATAAGCAATTTACAAAACTTCTTTCAGCCCCTGGGAGAAGCTGAAGAAACTAGTAAAGGTAGAGCTCAGATGAAGGAGCCAAGTTCGTGTGGAGTTTGAGGCTCTCTGTGCTTCATCTGAATTTGAGGCTCCTCATGGGTTTACAAGAGCCTTTTGTAAATGGGATGGTAGGATGATTTACTTAAATGCTTGGCTCTTTTTTCATTTCCTATAACAGTGTAATTAAGGGACCTTTGATAGTTTTCTGAGATGTGTAACAGAGCACACTGCAGCTGCTCTAAAAAGTCAAATGTGGGTTTTAGGTAGTTGTAAATCTTGTGGCCAAAGAGACTCAGCCTGCTGATTATGAACAATCTGAAGTGGGAGTATAAAACCAACTACCTTGCGTTCAAAGGTCTGCACAACTCAACACAATGACTCACACAAAGTGAGACAGATAAGTATTTGAAAAAAGCTGGAAGTTACAGCTGAATTTCCAAACCTCCCCTCCCATCTCTGAGAGAGGCATAAAGAAATCTGGTACCAGGAAGAGTTCTGATGTTTCATGCTCTGTGCTACCATGACAGCAGGATGTAGTCTCCAGCTATGGATGTAATTGATGGAGAGCCAGGGCTTGCATACAGAAATAAGTGAGGAGCAGAGAGAGGAGCAACTGGTTGTTCCCATGGTCCTGTTCGTAAGCAGGATGAAGTATAGCTATGGAAGTAATCTGTTCTTTGACAGTAAATACTATTAAATGGAGGAGTAAATAGGCAAAAGAAGCTGCTACCATAAAGCTGAACTGTTGAAGAACCTCTTTCATGCTGACTGAGCCACCTCTTCATATTTTGCAAAAGAAGTAAATAAAATTCCAGGTGCTCCAGTACTTTTATTTAAGAGAAAGTAAACCCAGAACACAGATGAGTTCCATATAGCTACAAATGTAGCCTTTTGGTCAAAGTTTAAATTCATGATAAAGTAGAATATATTGCAAGCCTGCCAGAGTAAAGTCTACTTATCTTTATGTTCCTGCATTGCAGATGTCACAGAAGGAAAGTGAGTTCTGAACTAGCTTTTAGTCAGTCTTACGTCTTCCATCACAGTTTGGTATGATGCATAGAGGCCCTTTGGGTGTTTCAGCCACAGCTCAGAGCAGTCCTGAGAGTCACTGTGGGGGCCATCTTCTCTTTTAGACAAACACCCCACTCACAACCAATCAAGAAAAACAGGGGAAAAACAAAGCATTTTAGGATAGGTAGAATTTTAGACATCTGTAAATTCAGTATGGCATTCAGATAGAAAAGATTTTATCCATGTATCTATTTCTGTCAGTTCTCTTACTGTGTTTTTAGTACATATTCTTGAAAATGCTTGCTTTGTGCATTTTTTTGTCAAATTAGTGCCAAGTGTTTACAAGCAGTAAGGGAAACTAGTGAGAAATTTTGGAAAAAATTCTTTGAACTGTAAAGATATCTCAGAAAAAAAAAAGAAAAAGTAAAGCTGAGTAATGAATTCATATTTCTTATCATAATCTCTGAAGTTTCCTTAATCCATTCCTGGTGGCTCTTTAGTGGTTTGTGAGCTCTGCTTAACTGGGCTGAAAGCTATAAAATAAATTGAAAGTAAAAAAAGTCTTTGCAGGAAGCTCCAAGTGTGGTCTAAGGAGTCCCAAGACAAAAGATTACAAACAAAAAAGTAGTGTATAATCTCTGAGTGCACTGTCTTGAAGTCTGATTTCAGTTTAATTGCATAAAACTCTGATCTTCAGAATCTCACTAAGTTTAACTCACAAACTCAGAAGCTTGAGTTCCTCTCGCAAACTTGGCTCTGTCAGAAAACCTCTCCATTATTCAGAATAGTTGGCAGCCTCTCATTAAAAGGGGCCCAGAACTGGCAGAGCAAAGGGAATTCAGGTCAGAGAGAAGGTCAGCTGATCCCTCTGCAGAAGTTTGTATAGTGTTTGCTACAACAGGCTCAAATTCCTGCTCTGACTCCTTCATCTGCATCCCCGTGACTAAGAATCAGAAAAAAATAGGGAAATTAAATAAAAGTTTCTGTTGAACTTACAAAACTGGGCCAAAATACTCTTGTACCTACTACTTGCTTTGTTCCAGTGCTCAAGAGCTGCTTCTAACCTAGATGGCACAGTTAGACTGTGGTTGGTACAGTTAAATTAGTCATCAACACAAATGCCAGTTTATTTTCCATGATGATCTTAGCAGTCCTTGGGGACTCACTGTGCTTTCCATTGTTTACACAGAGCTCTGGGCTGCTTTTTCTTAGCACTTCAGCAAGACTCAGGAGAACAGAACATGCTTTATCTGCTACTGATAAACAGATGAAACATTAGTTAGGATTTACCAAGCAAAAGGTGGCCTAAAAACCAACCCTGTAAACAGGAAAGAACAATAATACAAAGATTGGAAATAATCATCAAATTAAGCTATTTTTATATTGTTTATTATGAGTTTCTGAATAACCAGTTATATATCAATATAGACAGAACTATGAAATGTGTGTAATATGGAAAAGCCTGTCTAAGAAAGCTATTTTCAATAACATTGTTCTAACTGTGGTTAAATTAGTGATCTTGCTATAGATATTACTTATACAAAGTATATGACTATAAAAAATCCTATTGGATATTCATTGGGTCTTTCAGGTGCAAGTCTTTTTCTTATGTGATTTCAGTGAATCAGGCAAAAACTCACATTAAGTGATGTTTTAAAAAACAGTGTAACAGTTACTTGCAATCTCCATATCATATCCTATCCTTGATTTTAATATCAAGCAGAGAGCCTCCAGCATGCACTGCTGAAAAGCTACTATTCTCAAGCTTTCAGACACTGGGGGAATTCACTATATGTCAGCTAAATTGTATAAATCATATTTAGAAAGGTATGAACATTTCCAAATACATTACTGTACTAGTTTAACTAAAGTGGTTTCAAACCTGATTTTTAGTTTTTCTATATATATTTATGTATATATCTGGGTAGCATCTCTAAAGTGCTTAGGGTTACCTTTAAATGTGACTTTACATCACTTGGATGCTTGCGTATATTTTGTAAAGTTACTTAGGATTTGATCCAAAAAGATATACTATATGGCATCAGCTTCAGTTTTGCAGGATATAAATTAGCACATGGATCCATAAATATGATTCAGAAATACTGATTAATTAATTAAGTTAGGCTAACTATTCTGTGACACCACTAGGAGAGCAGACTCTCCACTGTCCTGTTGTTTGGTTTGGTTTGACTTCCTATGTCTGTTTTAAACTTCATTGATTTCTTTCTTTCTTTTTTTTAAGGTTGCATTTTTGATGTTCAAGTTCGTACAAGCATCAATCAAGGGTTTAAATCACCAGGCACTCCAGAAGGACACCCCAATTCTGGTCGCAATGTTGGACAATGTAAAGATTCCCCATGCAGTTTAATAAAATGCAGAAATGGTGGGAAGTGCATAGAAAGCGGCTCTACTGTTTAGTAAGTATATATATATATTAGAGTACAGCATAGACTGATCTCTAGACTAATAACTATGGTAATTTAGTGTATTGATAATAGAAGGAGACTAATAGAAAGGGAGAGAAAGAAAGAGAGAAAGAGAGAGAGAGAAAGAGAGAAAAAAAGAAAGAGAAAGAGAGAGAAAGAGAGAAGGAAAGAGAAAGAGAGAAAAAGAGATGGACTGGTTCTGCTCCACTGAAGTGACTGGCATCCAGACTTACTATGAACTGCATGGGTAGAACTAGGTGTGACAGTTTTTTAAAACAAATGAGCAGTCAAGGTAGCAGAGAAGAAATAGCGAAGAGGAGAGCTTGACTGTCCTAATGTTTGAATGTGGTTGATGAGACAAAAATAGGTGACTTCTGTTCCCTGGAAATCAGTATTTTCACATAAGAACCCCCTTTCTGGAGTAGACCACTGACTGCCCAACATCAGAAATTTCTGAGACAGTTTAAACCTGTAGGAGCTTCAAACATTGTTTGAACTACGTCAGTTCATCAGACAAGCTGTTCACATGGCTGATCTATGAAATAATATGTGGTAGCAATGACAGCTCACCCAGAAGACAAGTCTGTGGTCTTTCCTGCCTTGTCACTAAATGTAGATGGATCTAAGTGCCCAAGGTGTAAGGCATGGTAAAGAACGAAGTACATTTGCAGTTCCAAATTGTTGCTGTGTGTCAACACTTCCATTGTAATAAATCTTGTTTTCAAACACTTTGTAACGCAGGTGTAAAACCTTTGCTGATGAGCCATTTTTTATTTTAAAAGTATCTGCCAAGATTAATTATACTTGCTTCCCTTCCTATGCTTTCACATGTGTTCATTTATTTACATACATTTGCAACATCTTTTTAGAAAGAGAAAAGTGCTGATTTAAAACTTCTGAAGACACTGACTGAAAACATTGCAGATAACAAGACAGATGAGGATGAAAAAACAGGCTTCACACTGTGGAGCCTCTGTGCATGACGCTGCTTAAAACAACAAAGACCCGTCCTTCTGTGTGCTACAAAAAAAAGTTTGCATACCTGTCAAGCTAAAAATAATCTACTTGACTCTGTATTGGAGAGAGAATTATATGGTAATTGGTTTTGCTGTCATGACAAAAATCTTCACCTGTAAGAGAACCAGTACAAAACTAGTGCTTCTAAAGCAAGTAAGGCTGTACTGAAATTTGGAAAACTGACCCTGAGATTCAGCATACATTCCCTCCCCATTCCCCTTATGAGCGTATTTATATTCTCTTAAATACAGTAATGAAGGAAATGCTTTGAAAGATAAAATTTGGGATTCCTTTCCAATTGTTGCACTGCAGTATGTCCCAACTGTTGCATTTTACACGATCCTTCCTGAGTTAAACCCTTACATTTAGAGTCTTTGATTTTTCTAATAAGAAAGGATAATAGCCCTCTTTACACTTATGAGCATATTAGAGGAGATACAAAACTAAAATTTCAAGAGAAAAATAAGTATCATAAATATCAGCTAAGTATGACACTTCCATTCACCCACCTAAATCCTTGCTGCAGCAATTTACCCAGCCATGCTAAGACACAGAACCACCAGCAGCAGCATCTAGAGCACATTTGGAAAGCAGGTGCCAAAGAGGTGTGAATGTAACTTACATATAATTTCTATCAATGCATAGTAGCTGTCAATGCCATCTCACATTTTCTCGAGGGAACTTCCTTCTCTTTTAAAATCATCGGTGTTCCTTTGAAGAGCAGAGTCCTTGAGGGAACTGGATTTGCATTCAAATATTTTTTTTCTCCTGAAATGAGATCTCTCCAGAGGTTTTTGTTGCTGATTTGAGCTATTTTTATGTCCTGCTTTCACTACCCTACCAGAAATTGTGCAATGCTGTTAAGCTGTAGATTCAGTTACTATAGGGACAATGCTTTGATCTAAATAAAACTAGAAATACACAGCATTAAACTTTACATTCTGGCCAGCAACAGAGCACAATTGCTATGTTTTAATAAAATAAAGGGGAAATATTTGAATAATAAAATGAAGAATCTGTTGTTCAAGGGACAATAGTATTCCCCATTATTTTATTTATGGCACAGAATCATATAAGATAGAAAACTAGATTGTCTGTGATGTGTTATCATATCAACTGCCTTATCAGCAAGGGTTTGTTGATGAAGTAAAAGTGTGCCTTGTGTGCACTTTGAGCAGAACATCAGACATAATGGAGAGGATTGAGTTTGCTAAATGTAAGCATGTAGTGTCACTTTAGATACCCCTGGGTAGACTGTTCAGAGATCAGCTGCTGCTTCAGAAGAGCTTAGGACTTGCATAAGTCTTCTGTTGTATCTCCAAGCCTCATGTGGGTTTCTCAGTACTCTATAGCTTTCAAAGAGCATCAGCCACTCAGGTTTAGGAAGTTAAATCATACCCCTCTATGGCAGAGATACATCCCATAAAATGAGCTGCTGCAGTCTCATTATTAGGCTAGATTCAATTAGAACAAATTTTCAGTGCAAGGACAGAATCAATATTTAACACAAGGACATACTTTTATAGTTTGTAAGGGAAAAGACATTTAGCTATTTAATTGTTGTGGTTTAGAACAATGCAAGTTTCTATTTTGGGGAGTGAATTTGCTATCTAAAAATTCCATTCCATGGTTCTCTTTGTTTAAATATGGTTAATCCCCTTCCAATCTTAGTTTCTTCAGACTCCAGTTTTACCTTCTAATCTAAAGATGGACTGCTTTTTGTTAATGCTCTAGTTTTCCACTGTGTGAATTTAAAACCACTCTTACTTAGAGATCTACTCCCTTGCTCAGCATTTTTCACTTCCAATACAATACAAATTTAAGAACTGTGTCCAGAAATCTGCAGTAGTTTCAGTAGTCTGATGTGGTGGCCAATACATGCTGATACAAATTTGAGATGTCCTGCAATATCTGAGATAACCATATGATGTTAAGAAATGCGTCATTTCTTCCTGGAACAGTGATTAGAGAGTACCCTAGGGAGTTTCAGATGGCACTAAATATCTATCTGATCTAAGCTGTTTTAACTAATTAGATAAATTAAGGAAGCCTCTGATCTCCATCGACTACATGCCCATTTTAGATATAGACTCCTAAATTCAGGTGTCAGAATATGCAGAGCTGAACTTCTCCTCATTTGTTTGATTTGACACCACATTTGCATAACTATAGGAAGTTCCATATTTGTTAGCATTGAGAATGATATTTTAAACATGATATTTTCTATATTTAATATAAAAATAATTTTTGTGCAATTTAGGAAACCACACTGGATTAAGCAAACCTTCCAATTCTTCACAAATCTTTTAGAACCTTTAGTTATTTCCCTATAAGGTTCGAGAAATGCTTCTGGTTTGACTAGGAATTTGTGTAGTAATATAGAGATATTTCTTACATAGTTTGTAAAATAAGATAACTTTTCAATAATTTTTTTAAATGTTGTCTGAATTTTTATATTTAAAAAAAAATATGTTTTGTTCCATAACCAACAGTGACATACACTTATTGTCCTTGCTTATGTAGAAAGTGTGTTACTTGTTTGAGATCTAATTTTGGCTTTTGTAAGGGACTTTGAACTCAGAAAATCCTTCTATGAATATTGCATGACACTGTTAAGAATCTGGCAAGACAACAACAATAAGAAGACATTAAATTAAACTCTCCTTGAACTTCCTAAATACAAATATTTCAGAACTTGAAATGGTATCTGAAATTTCCAGAATTGAAAGAGAACTTCTGTTTTATTTCTCTGGGATATGTGAATTTGAGAGTTCTTGCTTCCTGAACTGGCCGACTGCCATATACATGCTGTGAAGTACACCCTATTAAGTGTGTACTTAATAAGAGTCCTTTAAGGATTCAAGATTATCCAGTTTGTTCTCGGACACACTATTAAAGTTGTATATGAAAGACTTTCTACCCTTTCCCACCTAAAACCATGCTTTATTAAAAAATAAGAGATATTTTGGCAGTTGTTCTTGTGAAACTGGAGTATAGAAGAATTAATTTAATCCATGTTCTTCAAAAAGCTGTAAATATGGAAGTATTTTGCAGTGACGTTTAGCTCCTAAGACATATAAACTCAGAGTATCTCCAGCTGAGCTAAGCATATAAGATCCCATCACAATCAATGGGGGTCCAAGCCTTTACAGTTGTCTAAACGTTGGCATTCTAATGGCACAGGTCCTGGGACACCTTTTCTGGTCTTCACAATGTGTCCAGAGGAGCACAAGTCTTCTGCAGTTCTTCTGTTTAATCTGCTAGCTTGACACATCTCTCAGATACACTGGGTATCAGATGGCAGATACAATTAGTCGCATGGCATTAAATGAATGTAGGACCTTATCATTAGAGTCATGCATGTATTGTTTTGTAGGATGGATTGTGCTCCAGTTCCTGTGACTGTTTCAGCTGGAAACCCACTGATTAGCATATGAGCTCAGCCAGCTACTTGAGGATCCCATTTCCTAAACTTGAGCATTCAGTGATGTCCATCAGAAACTCGTCTCCCTGATGTCAAACTGCTTCTCTCATATACCTGTAGGAAGGCAACTGGGGGCACCTAATGTAATGTAAAATTAGCTGTCGATCTCAGAATGAATCTTGCCTCTTATGCCAAAGAAATACCAGGAGTGTCTGGATGATGCTCTACTTTTAGGTAGTTCTGCAAGAAGCAGGGAGTTGGACTCAAAAATCCTTATAAGTCCCTTTCAACTCAAGGTATTCTGTGATTCAAAATTAGTCTTTAAATCCCTGAGAGTCAAGGCACTAGTGATGTTGCAAGCTTATTAGGTTCTCTTGGTCTCAAAAAACAGTAAGCAACCATAACCAAGAAGATATAAACTAGACCAGAGTGGCAGGCCACATGATGGAAAGGATTTGACATGCTGCCTCTTCTCCTATTCCTCTGAGGATTAGGAAATTTTGGATCTAAACTTCTCAACACCAGTCAAACTTGCTTAGGAGTGTTACATGGGTTTCGTTTGTTCATAGACCATTGCCACTGTAGGCCAGCAAACATGTTCAGCTCTGTGCAAATAATTTTCAACTCATTTAGAAACTTTTGCTAGGTCATGAAACACAAGAATTAAAAGAAATTTAAACAGACATATGCATACACGAGCATGGGAAAGGGGAAGAACCCTCATGTATGCTGCCCAACAGCAGTAGCTTCAGCTCCAAGCACCCTGTCTCACAGCCCAAGGAAGGGACATTGCTGTTTGCACTCATGAGTTAAATTACTTCCCCTTCTCGGTAGCTTTCATGCCTCAAAGCATAACATTTATAGCTGAGACAGAAAGCATTCTGATGCTGATTTTGATGAATTGAGGTGCTTTTGCTTTTGCAGGGTCCTATCCTCTTTTCCCCTTCATTCCAAATAGCTGTTTATCACTCTGAAAAGTTTGTTAGCTGGGTTTGTTTACATGTTGTTGTCTGATCTGAAGGTTTGGTGAAACAGAAGTTTCACAGCCTCCTCATTATCTTTTATCCAGAAGCAGTGAGGTGATTAATGGAGGAAATGTAGCTCAGTGAGTTCAAAGAAAAAGTCAAGACTTTGCACATAGAAAAAAACCTCAAACACTGGTTAAGAATCAATCAAAATATATGAGTTTTCATTCTTAGCCTTGAGAGAGAAACCTTCCAGAAAAAAATCCATAAGTGCTTTTATTCAGGGGAACAATGTTTTTATCATAAAGTGTTACTAAATTCTAAAATACATATTTCATTTTACCTTTTTCGTAAGGAGGGCATTTTAAGTGCTAAGTGTATTCTGTATTTAAAAATTCCTATAAAATTCATACTGATTTTAAATTTAGATGTGTGATTTTTTTGTTTGTTTGTTTCCCTGACCTGGATGAAAGAAAGGCATAAAGAACAGCAGACAATAACAATTACAATGATTCAGTCTGTTTAGAAAATTTGCTTATGGTGTAGATTTACAATCATAGATACATGAAATCCAGATTACCACCTCTTTCATGGCCGGATCCACTATCCTTTTTCCATCAAGTGCTTCAACAAACCTACCTCTAATGTGCCAGTTATAAGAATTTAGCAAATTAATAAGTGAAAGGCAGTTGCTGACAGACTCCTGTTAGTAGTTAAAATTTCAAACTGGTAGCAATTTCACTTATGCTAACATCTGGTTTTATTTTTGTGGTTGCTCTTTGCTGCTTACCTTGCCCTTTTGAATGTCCACTTTAACTCCTCCTAATTTTTGAAGCCAAGGCCTTTTTCAGTTATTTGTAGAGTAAGACATAAAAAAAAAAAAAAAGCTACAACCCCTTTTTTTTAACAGATGCTAATATTGTAATCTTAAGATTCAAAATAAAATGTTTCCTATTAAGAACATTTTTCTTTTATAATAAAGTGAACATACAAAGAAGTTAAATGAGGAACTTTTCTGTTAACCAGTTTGGATCAGATTATTAAATACAGGTATCCAAACTTGAAAATCTTGATTAGATTGCTACTGACATGTTGATTTCTTTTGATAAAAACATTGAATTCTTTCCTTTCACTTACCCTCCATAGCTGTGACTGCCTCACTGGATGGAAAGGTGCATTTTGCACAGAAATAGTGTCAGTATGTGAACCTGAGCATGATCCTCCACATCTGTGTAGGCAAGGTGGTACCTGTGTGCCACTGCCTAATGGCTACACATGTCACTGTCCTCTTGGAACAACTGGTACCTACTGTGAACAAGGTATGTCAAATGGATAGTGCATTGTACAGTTATGGGATAATGCATAGATGTAAAATCACGGTATTTTGCAATATATCAATTAAATGTGACATGGAGATATAAAGTACAAAATAGGTTTTATTTACAGAAAGTGAATTTAGAAGTAATTTAAAGCTATGAATCGTTAGATATTGTTTTCTTACTCTGCTCATTTTTAACAGCATTTGTTCCTTCCATTTTTTCAAATCATTCAACCACATTCACAGGCAGGATGGACATGATTTGTTAGATACCAAGGAGACAGGAAGCATGGCAGAGAAATGTTATAGTGCTTAGTTCAATTGCCAAGCTCACCATAATGAAGTATGATGAGAAATACACTTGACAGCTCAGTACTACTGCAGAAGGGGGAAGCATCTGGGACCTTATCTAATTTCTACTGATGCTAATGGAGAGGTTCCTGGTTTTGTATTTCTTACCCTTATGTCTAGGAATCTTTTGTCTGTCTTCTTCTCTGAGAGATTACACAAATAAATATTCAACAGTGTGGAAACACATGTGCTACAAGCTCAGGGACTTTTCCTGTGAGTGCTCAAAGTGTGCTTTGAGCGTAAGGAAATGCAGTACAGTCCACACCCTCTATTTCACAGCTCTTAGATTCATGTTAATATTTTACAAGCTTATGTTTTTCCTTTGAGAAGCTCTCTGCAGAACTTTTGGAGAACTCCAGTTACTATTAAATAGCCCCCTTTCCAAACTGCTTGTCAAGGTCCAGCCTCCCTTGTTGTGTGAGTTGCAAGCACAAAACTGAGAACCTGAACTGCATCTGACCTGATTTGCAGTCCTCACACTATAGATGGATAGTTTTTAAATCCCATTACATTTTGAAAGAAAAAGAATATAGCTTCTGGAAAGTCATTGTTAAACTCCTTATTCCTTGTAAGAACGTGCTTGCTTTATTGCCTCTGCTACAAAAGCTGTTCAAGGTTCTTTCTATGAACTTTTCAACTTTGAATTCTCATTTCAAATGAGGTTTTCAAAAGTAATGCCATCGAGATCCAGGATACTGATCACCAGGACATGTGCTATACATAAAGCAGGTAATTAATCAGGTAAACTCTCCTGTGTTCTGGTTTCAGAATAGATTTGGGTCTTCTTATGATGGGCACTATTATCAGTACAAATAGGTTATATCTGAGCAACAGAAAATTGTATTTCTTGTAAATTATCTTCCTTTTAGTAATTCCTCCACCTGGTAAACACATTAGAGGGTTCCTCCGTTTTATTTAAAGGACTATTTGTTTTTATGAATAGGGACTATGGATCCTGACCAAACTCTTTGCCCTGTATTTCACCTTACTCTGGCAGAATAATGAATTATCATGAGATTTTTCAAAGAGCAGTTTGCTCTTTTAGTGGGTGGCGAATTGCTAAAAAACAGCTGCTTATCAAGATTGAATATCTTATCTCTAGATTAATGGTGGTTATTGGAGCCAAAAGAAAAAAAGACAGAGAGCAATGAGCAGCCAAAGGGTCCAGGAGAAAACAAAGGGTAATTAAATGATGGAGACTAATGAATGTGTAAGAAGGAAGGAAAAAAGTGTGAGGAAAAGGCAGAAGAGATTTATGAGGCAAAAAAGAAGCAGAGTAGAATAACAAAGAGGGCTTCACCAAATAATAGCAACTGGTAAATACAATACAACAGTATGGATTGCACAGGAACAAGTCAGGTGAAGTGAGTAAATGGGGCAGTAGGGGTAGAACCACAATAACACAGAAGAGTACTCTGAACAAAAATATTAAGGGCTCTTAGACACAAACTGGTAATAATCAAACAGTTATGTGCTTAGAAAACACTAAAAATGTTCTAGGTTCTTTATGAACTATGTACATGAGAAATGAGAGATGAAAGCATATGTACAGATGAAGATGAAACTGTTCTTAACTGTGATGTGTCCTGCTTAGAGCATCAACTCAAACCACCAAGGATGCAAAGACTGTCAGCACAGAGATACAGCACATTATGCTTAAACTTTAGATGTCTGAGCTGCCCTAACAAGTGTTCAGTAGTTAGAAAATTAAGTTAGAACAACACTAAACCCAGGGAGAGCAAGATCAATTAACAGTTGTCATGACTTGTATGGCCTGAAATTCACAGTTCTTGCTTGATCATCTCACAATGATCATTGTCAAAATGTAAATACTGAGCAATATTCTCAGGAGGTTGCAGTAAGATGTTTGTTAAATCATGTATTTTAGAGGAATTAGAAGAATCAATCCAGTTGATGAAGAGAAGGTAGCAGTTTCAATTACTCTGCATTTCCTATAGGCTCTGTGCAACCAACTAATTATTACTATTCAGCAAGTAATGCACAGGTATTTTGTAGTCTGAAATGCTGAGAGTAAATATTTCATAGTATAGTTCAACTTGCCAAAACAGGTGCCAGGACTTGCACTTCCAGAAGAAAGATCAAGAGGTTTAGCAGGTAGGAAGATGCCTGTGAAATTTAAGACCAGCTTTGGAAAGGCAAGCATCCATAAGGAGCATTAGGAAAAATGGAGAGGGTTGTAAATTAGATCTGAATGGGTCCAAGAAACAAAACCTTGTCAGGCAAGGCAGGGTAATACACTTACTCAAGAATAATTTAAAGCTCTACTTCTTGGGTGTACTACGTTGACCAAACCCATTAACACTCGTAAGACAAGATACTTCTTCAAGAGTGTTGGGTTTCTAGAGTTAACATTGGTGTAAAGAAACAAAACAAATTATTAATTTATACTTTCAGAAATAAAAGTGGTTGTAATGAAATGGGAAGGAAATGGAAGACTAATGAAGGAGTCTTTAGTGTTAACATTGCCATTTGGACTCAAACCACTTTCACGTTTGTGGCACATGAAACAGCAAAGAATGCTGTTCCACTGGTTTGAAAAGTCACAGCTATGACAGTAACACAGCAAAGACATCCCAGTTCCTGAAGTGCATAAATGACAACCAAACATTGGCAGGATCTGGCACAGTGTTATTTCTTAGTTAGCCCTCCATAACCACAAAGATTAGGTGTATGGGGGAAGTAGTTTATTCTGAGGTTTTTTTAAAAGCAGTTATGTTTTCCACAACACCAAAACATGATGTTAATAAAATATTTTGTTCATTTGATTTAAAGTTTGCAACTGAAGTACCTGTCTAAAGTGTCTTCTGGTTAAGAAGTGAAGCCTCAGACAGGAGCAGCATATAATTCAAGAATTTCATTAATACACAGTGTTCAAAAACAATAAGAAATTCCAGCTCCCAGTACTTTGTCTGAGGAGTTTCCTGCATGACTTTGCACACCAAAATCCAGTTTATTCTTGTATTAATGAATATCTTTGTACTTAGATCTCTCAAAGGGCTTCTGAAGGGGAAGAAGTCTCTAAGGACCCAGTTGTTTAATTCTCCTGAAAGTATATAGTAGACCTATTGGCATCAGCGTGACTACTCTGCTGAGAAACAGTGGCCAAGATAAATGTCAAGGATGATTCCTCCTGAGGGAGAAGAAACAGTCTCAAACCCTTTTGTTGCAGATAGTTTGATTTGCTGGACATTGTTATTATATATATGAATACAATATTTTTCTTATATTTAAAAATTACTAAGAAATGCAAACTTCAAAAATACAGACATTATCATAATGCCTGCCTGCAATTATATTCTAATGTCTACTAAATTCTATTTTAGCAGTTTATTCCTATAAGAAGAATGTCCCTGTGTGAGGCTTGTAATCCTGTCTCCAGCAGTAGAAAATAATGAAGTTTTAAAGAAAAAATAAACACAGCAACTATGTACAACATCTCCCTGAAGTACTCTTCTAGCATCCAAACATTTGTGGTTTATCTTTTTTTTTTTTGTACAAGTTTCGAGCTGGCTTCCTGCCAAGTCCCCGAAACCCGACAACAAGGACCTGCTTCCCAGAGAGGGAAGAAAAAAAACAACCTAAGCAACCAAAGCTATAGCAAAATATATATATATATTTTTCATATGAGACAGGTATATACAATGAGAATACTATACACCACAACTCCAGAAATCCCAAACGGCTCCCCAAAAGGGAAGAGGGGGAGGGAGAAGGGAAAAGGACAAAAAGGGACAAAACCCAAACAAGTCAACCAGCCAACTGAAGGTAAATTAGCAAAATCTCACCACTTCCCTTTGAAGAAGCAGGATGGTTAGACACGGTCCAGCGCTCTCCCCTCACACGTGGCAGATAACAGCAGTCGCTGTAGGCCTCAGCTCCAGATAAGCCAGACTGAGACAGGGACCCACCGTTCTCGAACCTCGCCGGAAAGGAAGAGAGCGAGGTCCCTCCTGCTGGCTTTATTTATACCTCAACTTACGTAAAGGAATAGCATGAAATACTTCCGTGGTCACCTTTCTAGTTCCTTCCTGGTTACAAGCTGGTCTCTAGGAAGGCTTAGAGTGAAACCATCACATTCTTCACCCCTTATTCCATACTATTTCTTTACGTAACACCTGTATATTGTGTTCATCTATATCCCGCACATATACATATATACATATATACATATAGTCCATGTTTATTTCGAGGCTGTCGTCTGTTGTTGAAGATCAGCACCAACAGCAGCTTGGTTTGGATTCTTGGCCCTTTCATCACAATCACAGTTCTGTTTTAGGGCTGGTTCATTGGTTTGGGCTGTCTCATCATCGGACATCCTTGGATACCAGTATCAGTTTTGTTTGGGTCTTTTTCCATCTGGTGTCTGGTCTCCTGTAAAACACAACTTAAGGCACAGAATTAGTTGTTCCCCATGGCTAGGTTTCCTTGAGGCACACATTGGATCTCTCCATCCTTCCTCATAACCCACCAGGTATTTCCAGGCCCTTGAGCGAAAACAATCCCACGAATGGGTTTGTCTTGGCCTGAGGGAGGAGTGATCCAAACAGCCTTACCTAACATACCTCTTAGATGGATCGCTGGAACTTTGTCTCCATCTACAGTGTGGAGGGATTCTGCTTGGGCAGGACC